TGTAAAAGTGAAATGTGCATAGCGTCCATGATAGAATTGGGTTTAGACTGCACAAAGGAAACGCCAGAATCAAGAGTGACCATGAAAGAAGTAGTGAAGAGGCTTAACAAAATCAAGAACGCATTTCTGGAAACATAGAAGTCATGGTGTTCTTTTCTGAGCTGCAAATTAATATGATACCTTTTGTTTCTGTAATAAAGTTGTCGTATAGTACTACGTGAAGTCTTTGAGTGTTTTGGACCTATTTTACTCTATGATCTATTTGTGATTATGTTTTGAATGCTTGAAAGAAACCAGAAATAAAGGTGTTTAGCTGCACTATTTTGTTTTTTGAATGTTACGAAACAATTAGTGAATTGAGCACTTTTGATTTCCTTGTACTAATTAATTACTGTCTTCTTTAGATTTTACCTGCACAAGTATTCCAACAAGCCTATCTTAACATCAGAGAGTTCCAAAGAAAAATTGGTAATCTGAGCCAGCTTGCATTTTTGTCCTTGGTCGATAATCATTCCCGAAACACTGTTGTCCCTCTTGTTTGATCTGAAGTTTCTAAGTATATGTTACAACATAACTGAAGAAAAACCCTTCAAAAATCAAGTAGTTTTCCTTTGGAAAGATTAGTGTGAGGCTTCTGTTATAATCCTGAGTTTAATTTCATTGAAAATATGTTTTAGATGTTATTTTCATACTATGCTATTGACACTTTGATCGCTATAGATCTCTTAAAAAAACCTTGCTATTTTTATACGCAAAATTTTTCGTAAACAATGTCACATTTACATAAGAGAATCAATAAACATTTCTGTTATAACTTTAGTGACCTGAGTATGAGTATAAGCTAACAGAGGTTTAAGGATCAATTCAACTTAAGCAAGAATTAAGGGTGTATTCGGTACAGGGGAAAAACATTTCTAAACTTTTCCATATATGGTTGATCAACTGTGTGGGAATAGACATGACACAGCCACGTTGGCACTTTTGCCAATCAACAGCAACAACGTCTCAATGTCAAACAAGTTTGGACATATTTTTGTTGATAGTTTACTTAAAATATTGACTCCTATTTCTTGACGAATTAAAATAAAACCTCTTAACAAGAATTCTTGTATCTATTATGAGTTTTGCCGACTTTTATTCCATTTTGTGAAACACAACCCAAGTAGTGTCAACTGTCAAGGAAAAAATGGATAAATTCCATTTCTTATTTTCCTCCTTTAAATTTGTTTTCACATTAATTTTTTTGCTACTTATTTTTCTCATCCATATTAATCTGTTTTCACATCAATCTTTTTGCTACTTATTTTCCTCAAACTTATTAATCTGTTTTCACATTTTGGAAATTAGAGTCTATTTATTTAAATTAATGAAGAAGGTATTTAGCTACACTATTTTGCTTTTTGTCTCTCTTTTCGCCTCTCTCCTTCATTTGTATTTGCCTCGGAATTTTTACATAGTCAATGTGTAGAACATAAACTCTAATGAGATTAAAAACATGAATAGATTAAGCATCTGTTGATAATGTATTTGCCTCAGTATCTCCCGCAGAGGGTGAGCCCTATCGGAACGAGCCCTACGCTACACGATTTCAAATTAGTTGGATTTCACTATGAATATTCAATATCAAATGATAAATAATATTAAAAATTGGGAAAAGGGAAAATGTACATTTCTAACTTTGCAGGTGATATATCCTCATTTAAAAAGTGACGCGTTTATACTTATCGTCTATCTAAAGCATGATTACTCTTTCGTTGACAAACTCATTGAATTAGAAAAAATAATAATCTTAAAATACTTATTTTAACTTCTAAAAATACGATGTAACCTTTAAAGAATTTCCTTATCCATTTTTTTTTTAATCTCTTTAGGCCCGACTTAGTTGAAAAAATGGATGTTCATGTGACAATGAACTTGAATACCCCTTGTTAAAAAAGTATTCAAATGACAATTTCCATTCATAAAAATAATTTTGTTATTTTGTTACTTTGCCTTATTATTGACGAGTGCAATTCATGCATTAGAGTATGTTTATAGAACCAATTTAAATCAGGATAAGGATAAGGTGTTTAGATGGTCATAAACAAAAGTTTAGATTCACGATACGATACATTATGAAACAATACGTAACAACAATAGTGAAATCAAGGTCCTTTCTAGATAAGAAATACAGGTAAAAGGGAAAATTGTATGAAATAACAAACTATTAATTCAAATTAAATGATATAGCCATAGTTTATTTTAATTGTAATTCGCAGCAAACATCCCCTTTTTTTTGCCATCTGATTCGATATACAATTAGTCATTTTCGGTATACAATTAGCCATTTTATACATTTCGGTATAAAATGTATAGAATGTGTTTGTGTTTGTATAAAGCGAGAGAAAAGTGTATATACAAATACAAATGCATATATTTTCGTCCTATACACTTATAATTATACAAATACAGATCTTATTACACAAATTACAATGTATAAATGAATTTATACAAAACTGAACAATTTGTATAAAATTGGATGTTTGTAGCGAATTATACAAATCAAAAGCTCCATAGCAAACATAAAATTTGCTATGGAGCGCAGTTATGCAAACTATAGCTATATCATACAAATATAATTTTTATGTTTGCTATATGTGAAAGTTGTTCAAAATTAAATAAAATTTCATGTACTCAAAATTGATTTTGAGATACATAATTTTCTATTTCAGATACTTGTGTTTAAGAGACATTATAATTAAGTTAATGCATCTAGATGATCACTGGATAAATAATTTTAATATCTAACGGATAATTGACGCAAAATTTAAGTATCTATCTATGTATTTTAGCAAAAATAAAATATGAGGAGGTTAAAAAAAACAATAAACTAAATATCAGGTTCATATAATTTACTTCTTGCTTACGTGAAGTTGTGAATATAGGAAATCTTAGCCTCCGATTCTTTTTTCAGGTTCATATTATTATAAAAATAAATGTTGCCCTTTTCATTTGAATTTGATTGAATATATTATATTTTGGAATTAAAAGAAAACAAAAATAGAAATAATTATTTCTAATCTATTTTATTATAATAAAATAGATTAGAACAAAAAATTAAAAAAGTGAAACCACACGTGACAACGTGTGTAGTAGTGTGTGTCACGTTTGATTTTCTTCTAAAGAAAACATTAAAATTTCTTCCATTTTGTGCTAATTAGAGAATGTGTGTTGTGTAACACAGCCTTGTAAATTTGATTTGAAAGATTGACTCCCATTGACTTTGCTCTTAACAA